ACAACAACAAAGAACAAAACAACAAAAGAAAACAAAATCTCAAAACAAAAATGTAAATAAAAAGAAAGTAAGGGAAAAGATCGTAGAGGTAAAACTATTACTTAGGAGCCCAGAGTCTATCAGTCATAAATCTTAACTTGAAACAAGGACTGAGTCCAGGTCCCGTATCAGTGCTGAATGATATACTGCTTTCTGTGTGGGGCATGCTGTGAGGTACCGCCCAGGTCCCAGGTCAGGAATGGATGACTTACTTCCTCCACTGCAGGGAGTGCTGTTGGCAGAAAGCCTTGTCTCCTCCACTTGGCTGCGGAGAGGAGCATCACTCAAGGTCATGTCTCCTTCCTAAGGCAGTCACAACCAACGACTCACTGATGAGAAAGGCTGGCCTCCTTGGGGAAACTGAATAGTCGTCTCGGCCTCAAAGCTCCCCGTAGGTTAGCCGAGGCCTCTGTCGTACTGCATGGCAGCATATGCCCTCCCTGCCCAATCGTGCTCCTGTCCTTCCCCTCCCACAGCTACTGATGCTAAGAGCAAACTCTAATAAACCTGCCCTGCACTGATGTCCAATGTCATCCTGATCTCCAAATGTGCTATCATAGCTGATCATGTGAGAATTACCATCCTGCACAAGATCTGTATGTAATTTCACTGATTAGCAGATATTAAACGAGCATCTGTTAATCACTAGAGATTAAAGATAGTTAAAACTGGGACCAGCAAACAGTGTAATGGTTCCATGGCTGGATTCCCACCTAGTCGACCGTGCTTTGAGTCCTGGACTGGAGAGTTAAAACTTCTCTGGAGCGAGTGTATGCATGCTCAAGATCCTGAGAGGAGAACGGAGGAGAAGGGATTGTGGTGTCGCATTCGCCATCCCCCTGGGGAGTGACTTCTCACTTTCTGTCTCTCCAGGGAATGCACATGCCCTATAGCAAAAATCTACCTTAAAAAAGAAAAAAAAAAAAAGACACTTAAAATTAATACAACTCTACTTCTTTCAACACACTCATTCAATCTATCTCCAAAGAAGTTATGGTGTAATCCAAAACAAAAGAAATAAAAACACGTATTTATATTGACCTTAGCAGGTTGAGAAAGAGATTTTATGGACTCCAGCCTAAGACATCATTTAGTGAATCTGCAGATGATAAATATAGGCAGTGACTCTGTAAATGGGAAAGTGAGAAAGCATACCTGTGAAGAACAGTCATGTTGTAATCTCCTCTCCTCTGCTTTTCCCTCCCTTCGGGAATTTGGGCACACATGCACATGCTTCTGGTGTGTTTTTTAATCTACCGGGTCCAGGACTCAAACTATGCAGCAGCCATGTAGGATCCAGCCATCTTATCCACCATGCCACAGGCTGGCTCAGAATTTAATTTGAATACCAAGGTCAAACACATAGCATCTAAGTAAGAACTGTGAGACAGGAATACCCATTTCTTTTTTTCCAGGTGAAATTTAAGGATTAAATAAAAAGTACAAAGTGAGTTTCTCTCTGGCATAATTTACTAAGAGTGTCCCACTCTGAGACCAATTCTAGCAAGCTCATCCTCCCCACGGCAGAGACAGTTGATATCAAGTACTTAATTCTGACATCTGGAGCTCTTAGCTGGGAGATGGAGAGACATATCTAGGCACTTTCTGCCACATGAGTATCTCATTTATGAAGAACTTCTGGACAGGAATAGATGACTTCAACCTTAGAAGGTAAAGCAGCCTGGTATGGTTAGGGCGTGGGTACAGAATTAAATAAACTGGAGTTCACTCCTAGGTCTGCTACATGTTTGAGCAAATCATCTCTCCTTGGGTAGCATCCTCCTCTATAAGTCTCCCTTAGGACTGGGATCACGTCTGTGTTGTTTGCTGTCATATTCCAGTGCTTAGTTAGCCTGGCACTGTGGCATTCAGAGCCAAATCAAATAATTGTTGAAGGCTCGTGTTAAGAAAGAAAGAGCAGCCCTTGACAGTTAGAAACTGATTTGGTGCTCAAGGTAGGCCACGTTATTCTCCTCTTAGACAATTTCACAGAATACCAACCTCAGCGTTACTCTGAAACCCATGAAAAAATGAGGCAAAGCAAGGTTGTACCATGATTTTGTCTAAGTACAGCCAAAAGTAAACTCCCAGTGCAGTTCACAAAACACCACGTGTTCCCTCTCTTTGCCAAAATGAATGACTACTAGTTATTTGTGAGTTGTAGCTTTATCCTCCTACCTCCCTGCCTATAATTGAGATTTATTGAAGTGTATAATCACAGGATTGGCCCTACTTTCCAACAGCATCCAATCTAAAGCAAATCTCTATTTCCTTAGACCACCCCCCAGCATACCCAACCAAAGTCCAAATCTTACAATAGATTTGTTCTAACACGCCCTTTCTGAGACATCTCGTCATTCCCCACGCTGTGTGTGTGTGTTCACTTCAATGAGTAATAAACACAGTATGTGTACCCTTGTGTTCCCAGTGGTGGGCGGCTGAGGATACAGACAGTGTAAATGAAAAAAACTGGGAAGAAGGGCTGACCCTGTGGCCTGGTAGTTAAGGAAGCTGGATCCCACACAGTCAATGGTGTGGTTCAAAACGAAGACCCTGGTGGGGGGCTGGGAGGGCTTGAAAAACATGCCAGGCACTTGCATGTATGCCCGGACTCCCAATGAAATAGAAAAGTGGAGGAGAGGGGACTGTGATGACCATGCCCCATTAAGGGGTGTTAGCCCTCTCCTTCTCTGACTCCCTCTGTCAAGTGCCTAAGTGCTCTGACAAAAGACCAAAAAAAAAAAAAAAAAAAAAAAAAAAAAAAAAAAAAAAAAAAAAAAAAAGAAAAAGAAGGCCTCCTTAGATTGTTGTGGGTAGCAAACAGATGATTAATTTACCAGCACCTATGTAGGGCCTGCTGTGCCAGACACTGGGCTAGATACAGGGGATTCTGAGAAGAACAAGGTATGTATTGCTCTGCAGGTATTTGAATCTGCAGGGAATACAGAGTGGAAAATTTATGATCCAATTTAAAGCACTATTACAGAGGCATACAGCTCCCGTAAAGATGTTATACAGCACTATACATAAAGGATGACCCTCCAGCTCCTCTGGTCCTTAGGGAGAGAGAGAGTCAGGACGACAGGATGTGTGGTGGGCAGAATACAGGCTCCCAAAGACGTCCTTGCCCTAATTCCTGAGACTGAATATAAATGAGACTTTGCAGATGTTGATTAAGGATTTTTTTTTTCCCCCCCGAGATGAGATTATTCTGGATTATCTGAGTCTGATGCAGTCCCAAGTGTCCTTGTTAGAAGGAGGCAGGAGGGTCAGAGAAGCAGAAGAGGCTAAGACGTCTGAAAAAAAAACAAAAAAAAAAAAAAAAAAAAAAAAAAAGAAAAAAAAAAAAAAAAGAAAAAGAAGGCCTCCTTAGATTGTTGTGGGTAGCAAACAGATGATTAATTTACCAGCACCTATGTAGGGCCTGCTGTGCCAGACACTGGGCTAGATACAGGGGATTCTGAGAAGAACAAGGTATGTATTGCTCTGCAGGTATTTGAATCTGCAGGGAATACAGAGTGGAAAATTTATGATCCAATTTAAAGCACTATTACAGAGGCATACAGCTCCCGTAAAGATGTTATACAGCACTATACATAAAGGATGACCCTCCAGCTCCTCTGGTCCTTAGGGAGAGAGAGAGTCAGGACGACAGGATGTGTGGTGGGCAGAATACAGGCTCCCAAAGACGTCCTTGCCCTAATTCCTGAGACTGAATATAAATGAGACTTTGCAGATGTTGATTAAGGATTTTTTTTTCCCCCCCCCGAGATGAGATTATTCTGGATTATCTGAGTCTGATGCAGTCCCAAGTGTCCTTGTTAGAAGGAGGCAGGAGGGTCAGAGAAGCAGATGGGGTGGCAGAATGATTTGGGAGCACAAGCTGAGAAGCCTCAAGAGGCTGGAAAAAGCAAGGAAATGGATTCTCTCTGAGAGCCCTATCAATCCATTTTAGACTTGTGATCTTTAGAACTGTAAGGTTAATCTGTGGTTTTTAAATCAAATAGATTTGTGGTAATTTGCTAGAACACTGACAGGAAACTATAACAGAGATATAATCTTTAAGGCAGCGTGTCCCAGGCAAAAGCAGAGGTAGACTGATTTCCTGCACGTACCTGTCAGCAGGTCTGGATAGCTGTGTGCTTGGGAGTATGTCAGGATAGGGGGAAATCAGATCCTGAGGAATCTTCTTTCCATTTGTGGGAATTGAAATAATCCTGAAGGTGATCAGAGACCACTGAAAGATTGAAATCAGGGGAGAGTGACAAAGGCAGAATTGCATTTGAGGAGGAAGAAATGGAGTCTGCAAATGGGAGCATGGATGGGAGACCCATGGGTGAGTGATGAGGCCTTTGATTGTCCATTAAAACACACTCTTGCTTATTCCTTGAAGTCTGGAATGAGAAGACAGCAAAGAAATGGCTGTGCCCCTTTAAATATCTGAAATGTCCAGAGAAAGAATGACTAGACATGGTGTGTGCTACTCTAAGATCAAGAGCTAAAGTAATAAGGAATATAAAGTGCACTATCAGAAAGCACATTCTAATAATTAACCTAAAAATAACTGCTTCACAGATGATTTTGCCTTATAGTTCATTCTTTCATCTGTTCCACAAGTCATTTTTAGCCTTTAGGACTGGGCATGCACTAGGCATATGATGTAAACAAAATGGACTAGAGTTTACATTTTTTGGGGTAATATATTGTTTACTGATAACCTTTATGTAAAATAATTATTCAATCAAGAAGCAAGCTCCCAGTAGGCACGTGTAAAAAGAGATTTATACACGGATGAGGTTGGCTTGGAGTGAACTCTGATCATAGAAAAACTGGAAGTTAGTTAACCCAAAGGTTAGCAGCTTCGGTGAGCGACCTAGAGCTCCCTCCGGCCCTCCTTAACCCCTGGCCTCTCCGCACCAATCAATCTCCCCGCCCCAGTCCCCGCCTCCTTTCCCATGTCCCCGCCCTCTTCCCCCCCGAGCCGGTTAAGGTGGCAGTTGCCAGCTCACCGGGGTCGGTTTCGTTGCAGGTGTTTCGGGGTCTGGCCCGAAGGCGCCAAGTATGTTCCGGTCCCGAGACCGGACTGAGGCGCGCGGGGGCCCCGAGGAGGGAGCGGGGCTACATTCCCGGACTTCGGCCGGCCTCGGTCCTCAGTGCGCCGCGTGTGCGCCACGGGGCCGGGTCCGTGGGAGGTGGCGTCCGGGGGAGAGTCCGGGTCGCGGTGGATGGCCGGCCGGCGCGGTGGCGGCCTAGTCAGCGTGGGTCCGGGCGCGGTCCCCGGTGTGGGCAGGGACTCTGGTGGTGGGGCGCGGGGAGCCCCGGCGTGCGGCCTGCCTGGGCCCGGCTCCGGCATTGCTCGGCCTGGGCGGCAGAGCCTGGCGGCCTGAGGGGCACGTGGGGGACTTCAGAAATGATCTGGCCCTGGTGCTAAAGCGACTTCTTCCTAAATTTCCAAGTGCAGGGGCTTTCCTCCCTTCTTGCTTCATATGAAGCTCTGCTGCCTATTCAGAGAGGCAGAAGGAGACGTGTGTAAAGAGGAGTGTAGACCAATGATTTAAGTCCTGCCGTTCGTAATTCATTCATTTATTTTAATTAAGGTAAACAACGATGGAGTATATGACAGAACCCGCTGATCGCAGCCCCGGACACATGTGAGTCGCTTGTGTGTCTGGCCTCTTCCTTCCCTATCCCCCTTAAGTTTGAAGATCTTAAAGTGAATCTGAAACTTGTTTATGGGGAAAGCTTTTGGGGATGGGAGGAATCTCATTTGTCATTAAATGAAAAAAAAAGTCTCATATCTTTAGAAAATCAAATTTGTTTTTAATTACAAGGTTTGTGAGAGTTAAAATAGTCGCTGTATGTCTTTCCAGCTGCAAGTGGCTACTTCTATGATATGAAATAAAATTAAATACTGGGTCACCCTGTCATGTTTCAGATGCTCAAGAGCCCGCTGTGACTAGGGGCTAATTTGGGACATGGCAGATTACTGAAACTTTTCTTTTGGACAGCATTGCTTTGCATCAGTGGTTTGCAAACATTTTCTGCCCTCCCCACCCCTGGAGTTAGGATATTCCTGTAGGATATTCCTGTCGCTGAATCACTAACGTGATATGCTTCCTGTCCTGTTAAAAGAATTCTGCTCTGAGTAAAATGTTTATATTTTGGCAGTCACTGTGCCTTTTTAAAAAATGGTGAGATTTTTTGAGAATATTACTGTGTAATTACTATAAGAAATGATTTAGATATCTTTTACTGTTGGTATAGTCCAGAGGTTGATACATTTTCCAGAAATGGTTATCAGAAAGAGATGGTAGGAGCTATAGTCTTTTTATCTCATGAGCCTCTCTTTACCTAAGCTATGAGTTTTCTGTAGGCCCTGAAAATGAACTGAATTCTTGGTGTAGCACCAGAGCTAGTGCCCACAACAGATATGGCATCATAATTACTAGACTGAAGGCTTAGCATTTATACAGGTTGTAGTTGAATTAAAGAGAGACAAACATATATATATATTTTTTTTTTCTTTTTTTGGAGAGATTTTTGCTATAGGGTGCGTGTGCTCACCACAAAGAGAGAGACAGAGAGACAGAAAGCGAGAAATCACCCCTCAGGGGGGATGGCCACGCCACAGTCCCTTCTCCTCCATTCTCCTCTTGGAATCTTGAGCACGCATGCACACGTGCCCAGCGTGTTTCAGCCACCGGATCCGGGCCTCGAACCCCAGTGTCCAGCGACAGCAGTTACATTAACTGCCGGCCCTAAGACAAACATATATTCTTAACAAAGAATTTCCTTTTTGACTTTTGCCATTAATATTGCCCTGGCCTTATTATTGTCTGTTACTCTCTTTTTCTATTTTATAAAAGGGATGATGAACAACAGGTTTTCAGATTTCCCCTAAATTTGCTATTACAGTTATATTTATGAAAGTTATTATAAGTACTTGTTGGTAAAAATTAATGTGGATGTTTGTGTCTGCATAGGAAATGTCTGGGAGAGGATATCTATCTATCTATAGTTTTTTTGTTGTTTGTTTGTTTTAAGAGGTTTTTACCATAGGGCGCGAACACTCGTCAGAAAGACAGAGACAGAGACAGAAAGCGAGAAATCACCCCCTAGGGGGGATGGCCACGCCGCAATCCCTTCTCCTCCATTCTCCTCTCGGGATCTTGGGCACGCATGCACACACGCCTGGCGTGAGTTTAAGCCACTGGGTCCAGGACTCGAACTGCGGTCGACTACATGGGAGTCCAGTGACATAGCCATTATGCTAACTGCTGGTCCCTCTATCTATCTATATATATTTAGTATCTGATTTTGCAGGTAGTATTGGTTTGGTAGATAGAACTTTAATATTTTTATTGTATTTAAGTATTTGAAATTGAACTTAGTGCAAGTTTTGTGTTCTCCATTAGTATATCTCCTGTATAGTGATATGACTATATTTCTATTTATTTTTAGTAGAAATAATTTGTTTAAACCTTGCTGACTGTATAAATATCAGGTTGTCAGAAAAGTCATGATGTGTTTTTCTATTTTTTCTATGCAAAAATGTGTCATAACTTACCTGACCACCCAGTTTAAATTTAAATGGTATAAAATGAAAAAAGTGACTAGTGAAATCTCAGTTGCACTAGTCACTTCTTGTCACCCAGCTGTCACATGTGACAAGTAGCTACCTGACTGGACAGATGAGAACATTTCTGTCATTGCATAAAGATCTGTTGGACAGGACTGTCTGGATCCTTAGGACATCAGCTACCTTTTATGAATTTTTAGAATTATAGCTGTTTTTTTTTTGTCCAAGTATTTCAGGATGATTCTATATTTACTGTATTTTTGAAGGCTGCTTGGTTTTTAAGTCATTTTTAAAAAGGCAGAAATAATATTGCCTAACTTAAAGGTTTTTGTTTGGTAGTTTTTTTTTTTTTTTTTTTTTTGCTTTTCTCATTTGACAGTGAATTGTAAATCTAATTTGAAAAATTTGTTCTTTCTTTATTCAAGCTTGTGCTGTGAGTGTGGTGTCCCGATTAGTCCAAATCCTGCCAATATTTGTGTGGCTTGTTTGCGCAGTAAAGTAGACATCAGCCAAGGAATTCCGAAACAGGTCTCAGTTTCTTTCTGCAAACAATGTCAGAGGTATGGTATGGTACTATTTTACCCTACTTAAAGCTCAGATTTATAGGAAGAGAGCTACCGGGATATGCTGAGATTACACTAAGATACATAGAATAAAGCACATGTAATTGAGATTGAATTTTATTGACGTTAGTGTTGCCACAGATTTTAGAATTTGTAATTTTATGATGTGCTTTTCTAGTTGGAATGTTTATGAACCCCTTTGAAAATTCAAAAACTGTATCTCCGCAGGAAAACACATGTACATGTAAATAAACATGAAACTTTGTGTACTGTTTCAGGGTTTACAGTTTGTAGGTTTGGCTAGCGTGAAGCTTAATCTATTATAAATATTAAAAACATGGTGGAGTGAAGAAAAGTGGGCAAAGAATCAAGAGATCTAGTTTGTCTTAAATTTCTCACAAATCAGCTTTTGAAACTCTTGACCATTTATCCTCTCCAGGTCTCAGTTTCTTCTTCAGTGTGAGGAGGGGGTTTTAGTAGATATAAAAGTGTGCTTAAAAGCTTGAACCTAGGAAAGTGAAAATTGAAATTTTAAGTGTGTCAGAAAGGCATTCACATAACACTTTTGGAAGAATGTGTTTAATAAATATTTATAGAGCATCTCTGTCAGACATTGTACTAGGTACTGACTGGGTAGGCTTGGCTAAAGAACTTAAAATACATGTGTAAGGGACTTAACATTTAGTTAGGTTTTACCTAAGATTTTAAGACTTAAGTTTTGTAATTTAAAATTTCCCAAGAGACTTGAAATGTAAAGGAACAGTCTGAATTTAATGCTGGTCTATTGAGGTAGTTATAATACTCTTTGTAAGTTATAAACAGTTCTCAAGCATTTCATTATTTATTTATTTTGCCGAGAAATGATTTTTTTAAAGAATTATTTTATTTAACTTTATTTATTTATATTCATTTGACTAGAAAGAAATGGGGCAGAGGGGGGATGAGAAAGCAAGCCTCCAAATCCAGGACTTGAACCTCAGTCGGCCATGTAGAAGTCCAGCACCCTTAATCACCACGCCACCTGCTAGCCCCAAGAGAAATTTTTGCTTTGGGGTGTGTGCGCTTGCTAGAGAGACAGAAAGTGAGAACTCCTCCTCCCCCCCGGGGGGTGACCATGCCGCAGTCCCTTCTCCTCCATTCTCCTCTTGGGATTTTGGGCTCGCATGCACATGCGCCCAACCTTAGTTTTAAGCTGCCAGGTCCAGGACCCAGACTGCAGTTGACTATGTGGGAGTTCAGCAACAGAACCATTATGCCATCTGCTGGTCCCCTCAAGCAAGCATTTTAGAAGTACATAGTAGACCATTTTAATTCCATTTTGAGATGATTCTTAACCTGTTTTTTAGATCATAGCTTCAGGGAACTCTTGGGCACTTTATCATCCTCACTGGAATTTTTCCTTGTGATTTAAGTAATAAGACTACTTAGGTTATCTCATATTAGCTTTCTCAGTTTGGATTTACCTTTTAAACTAAAGCTACTGGTCTAATTGAAAGGTTTCTGAAATGATTAAAATGTTAAATGCTTCATATTAACCTGGGCATGGTTATGTCTGCTTAATAATCAGTTATATCTTCATGGAAATCTCTATTTTTTCCAGGAGAGAGTAGGCTTCAGCGTGTTATTTTTCTTCCTTAGATATTTTCAGCCCCCAGGAGCTTGGATACAATGTGCTTTAGAATCCAAAGAACTTCTTGCTTTGTGTTTGAAAAAAATCAAAGCCCCTCTGAGTAAGGTAGGTGAAACAGCTAAAATGAGTGTTCACAGGTATGATTTCCTTGAGGTTCTCATTTTCAGAAAATCCTTGTATGAGAAGGTTTTTCGAAAGTAACTGTTAAATATTTCCATTGTTACCAGTAGCACCCTGCCACAAATGCTGTTTTCATTTTTTGTTGTTCAATATATTCTTTCTATAGAAAATGAAAACTTTTTTCCTTTAAAAGACTTATAAAATAATTTCTTCCTCATACATTCATTGAGAACCTTATCCATTTATTGAGCTTTTCCCCTGAAAATCTTTGTATGAAACCATTGGTAAACATAATTTAGGAAATTATATAATTTAGAGCTATGCTATTTAGTTTCTTTTTATTTTCATTATTTTGGAAAGAAAATGTTTGTGCCTACCACCGAAAGTACATAAATGTTTCCAAAAAACAAGTACAGTTTGTTTAGAGTCTTGTTCACTTTTTTTTTTTTTTAAAGTTTATTTAATTTCTATTCGTGATAGAGCCCACATGCATGCATGAGAGAGAGAGAGAGAGAGAGAGAGAGAGAGAGAGTCTTGACAGGTTCTGGCCACCCTGTGATCCCGTGCCACAGCCCTCTAGCTCTTTAGGATCCTAGACACATAGCCTTGCCCAATATTTTACAGGCCAACCCAGGAATCTGAAATCATGGTTAGCCACGTGACTTCCAGCACTGCAGTTCAGTTTGCTACTGACTGTGTCGCCAGGCTAGGCCTCTAGTTTACTTCGTTACATAATACTTGAAAATTTTTTTGTGTTAAACTTTATCACTTATTTCCACTGTTTGTTTTTTAATTGAAATGGACTCTTAAGTTTGAAGGCTTTTCTGATTTTTCTTTGAGCTCTGATAAAATTTCATGTAATAGTTCTTTGGAATTTCTCCCTTTATTCTGCCCCAACTCCCCCCTCCCCAGAGTTTTTGCTAATCAAACATTGACCCTGTTGGCTTAAAACTTTGTCTTTTGCCTTCATATATTTTTATTTTTTTTAATCTTTTTCTCTTTTTTTTCCCTGTGTGTTCTTAGTGATTATTTTTACTTTATTTTCTAGTTCTTCCTATTGATTTGCTTTCTCCAGCAGAAATATTTTTGTTTCAGAGTCTTTTTTGATACATTCTGCCCTGTCATTTTTCTGAAGCTTTCGATAATGGGATTTTTGTTTTTTAAGTTTTCTTCTGTTCCCTGATTTGTTTATTTGTGTCTGGAGTAATTTTTTGTGTATCTTGTTTTTCTTTTGCTTTTATATGTCAGGTTTTTGTCAAAGGTCTAGTTAGTCTTAATAATTCGTTAGTTTATTCAGCAGATTTTCATTAACTAGAAGCTCTTGTCAAACTGCTTTTGTTGTTGGGATAGGCAGTGAATAAAAGACACACAGTCCTGTCTTAGGGAGCTTACCTTCCATGGAGAACAACAGATTAAGTGTTCACCCTCTTAATCCTGTTACAGTGGCTCAACAACTGCATTTTGGTAGTACTGTCCATATTGAGTTATATTCAGCTCTTCACATAAAAGCAATTTTTTTTTTTTTTTTGCCTCTTCAGATGCTGCTGATTTAGCAGTGGATTATAGTAGTGGGTTTAGTATTCAGAGTTTACTAAACTTTTTCTAATGAATGTCTGCCCTTAAAAGAAAAAAGCCACAGTCTTGGGCCAGCCTGTGCCATGGTGATTAAGGAGCCAGATTGTTAATGGCCCATTGTGATTAGAGTCCTGGACCAGAGGGCTTGAGAAACACACCAGGCATGTGTGTGCATGTGCCCAAAATCTCAAAAAGGGGAAATGGAGGAGAAGGGATTATGGCATGATGATGTAACCATTCCCCATGGGGGTGCTTTCTCACTTTCCTTTTCTCTTTCTTTCTCTCTTGCAAATGCATAGGCCCTATGGCCAAAATTTAAAAAAAAAAAAAAAAAATGAAAGAAACCATTCTTAATATAGAGAGAATAATCCAAGGGGAAACTTGTTAATGAGTTTCTACCAGATAGTGAGGCCATCAGGTCTTTGCTATCCTCTAAAAAGCATAATTTCCAGGCAAAACCCAATATCCTTTTTTTAGTGAAAAACGTTTTTTTCTTATGCAAATTGTTTAATTTTTACTTGAATTCATCAGTTGCATTAATATTAGTCATTCGATTGTCCTTTTATTTTCTGCTATTGTTGCCATATCTGTGATTACAGATCTTCCTTTGTAGTGATTGTGTGTAGTGATGTTAATCACAGATTCCTTAAGCATCTTATGAAATCTGTATCTTAATGAGTCATTCTTTTTTTTTAAAGTGAGGAATTACGTTTCTTTGTGTTTTATTGAAGGTACGGCTTGTGGATGCTGGCTTTGTGTGGACTGAACCCCACTCTAAGAGACTTAAAGTTAAACTGACTATTCAGAAAGAGGTAAGCCATATGTAATTTTCATTATGGTAAAAATTTTGGTATTGAGAATGAGGGCTTAGTGTTAAGTTATTTTATGTCTTGAATAGCTTAAAAAGAAAAGGTTGCATAGTTAATTTCAGCCCTTTGTTTTCTTTTGATCATCAGATGATTAGGTCACTTGTAAGAACAACTATTGCTCATGGTTAATGCACTAACTAATCTTTTCCATGTTACTTTTATTAGAAAAAAGATTGAAGTAAAAACATGGGCTAAGGCAGTGATTTTCTGACATGGCTGATAATCGTAATGACTCTCAGTAACTGAATCAAAATCTCTGGAAGCAAGGCCCAGGAGTCTATATATTTAAAAAGCCAAAGCTTCCCATGTGATTTCTGGTATTAAAACCATTACATTGGGAAATTTTTTTTGAGGTTTTTTTTTCTTATTTTTTCCTTCTAAAGATAGATTCTGTGTATCTCAAGGGAGGTCTTCAAAAAGCTTGTGGAAAATGGGTATTATTCAAAAACTAAGGATGGTTTTAAAATTTTTTTGCATCAAAATAGACATGTACTTCAATTCCTTTTTTTTTTTTTCTTTTTTTGGAGAGGTTTTTGCTATAGGGCACGTGCGCTTGCCAGAAAGACAGAGAGAGACAGAGAGACAGAAAGCGAGAAATCATCCCCCAGGGGGGATGGCCACACCGCGATCCCTTCTCCTCCATTCTCCTCTTGAGATCTTGGGCACATGCGCCCGGTGTGAGTTTAAGCCACCGGGTCCGGGACTTGAACCATGGTCGACTACGTGGGAGTCCAGTGACATAGCCATTACGCTAACTGCTGGTCCCCAATTCCATTTTCTTAATGGACTGTTTAATGTCCCTGCATTTATATAGACACATGTGTGTGCATGCACACATGTGTATAAATATTTGAAAGAATATCCTCATGACCACTTCATGTAAACATAAATTTGTAATGAGAATATGTAAATACTAGGAATTAAACCTGTGTATCTTTTTTGAAATAGTGTGACTTACTCTTTTGACTTTAAATTTGACTGGTACCCTCAGAGTGTTCATGGGAAAAAATTTTAAATTAAAGCATTCTTAAGAAAAAAACGTTGTTATTAAATAGAACTGAAAGAATGAAGAAGTATTATTTTCTTTATCAGGTGATGAATGGTGCCATACTTCAGCAAGTGTTTGTGGTGGATTATGTCGTTCAGTCCCAAATGTGTGGAGATTGTCATAGAGTAGAAGCTAAGGATTTCTGGAAGGCTGTGATTCAAGTCAGGCAAAAGGTAATGAGAGAAAGATGAACCCTCTATCTTATATCTCATTTTTGTCAGTTATAAACAGCTAGTACAACTTAATTCTTTTCAAGTTCCTCTGGCACCAGGGATATAGTCTTAAGTCTCCAGAGCACTCATCTTTGGAAATAGATCTAACATTTTAGATAATCCTTTTTTGGGGTGTGTGTGTGTGTGTGAATGTTTCATAACGTGTGCGCATTCTTCAGAGAGAGACAGAGAGACAGCGAGAATGAAAGTAAGAAATCACCCTCGAGGGAGGAGGGCCACACCACAGTCCCTTCTCCATTCTCCTTTTGGGATTTTGGGCATGTACGCACATACACCCAGCATAATCTTCTAGCCACTGGGTCCAAGACTCCAACCATGGTTGGTGGCTATGTGATCTTAATCACCACGCTATTTGCTGACCCTTTAGATAATCTTTAAAGATTGTTTTTGTTTGAAATTTTAATGTGTTATAACTGTGATGTATGTGTGCTATACCTATAAATGACTTTTGTGGGGTATTTAATTTGTCTGGTAATGTATTTGTATTTAGACTTTGCACAAAAAAACTTTCTACTATCTGGAACAGTTGATTCTGAAATATGGAATGCATCAGAATACACTTCGGATCAAAGAGATTCATGGTGAGTTAAAATTGAAAATTTGAAATGATGTCAAGTTTTTTTGTTTTTTGTTTTTTGTTTTTTGCCAGTAGACATGGAGACATGATTGTTTGGATTTGCGGATGCAGGAACCACATATATGGAGGACCAACTATAATATATAGTTCATTACCATGTTAGAAATTACCTTGCATGGGATTTTTTGATAGCAAAGGACTTGGATACAGGATACATTTGGCAATCACTTTCAAACTAAAAGAATTTCAGGTTTACCAACTGTTCTTCCATCTGGAGGAATTAATCTTTTTTTTTTCCCCCTGAGAATTGTTGGTTTGATTCATTTTTATTAAAAAAATTTTTTTTCTTTATTTGTGATAAGAGTTTATGTGCATGCATATTGCAAGAGAGAGAGGAGCACACTCAGCAGGGTCTGATCACATCGTAACCTTCCTTCAGTCCTGTAGCCTATAGATCTTGGGTATTTTTACACATGCCTGAAGTGTTTTCAGATTGATTGGGCCAGCTATTGGAATGGGGGTTGCCAGGTGGGATCCAGCTTTTCTTGAGTAGCACATTTCTGCTGCACCATGGAGCTGTCATTCTTGGTTTGAATTAAATGACTCTTGTTTATTTGCAACTTCTTTTTAAAAATTTAAATATGGAAATCAAAGCATTGAAGAAAATCAGTAATGTTTTAGTCTAAATTTAAATATTCTATTTCACCAGTTCAGACTCACATAAATTAATCTCTCTTCTATTGAATTTACAGTGGTACTATGGTCTGATCTATCCATTTAAACTCTGGAAGTTAACATTCAACTCTGGACTTGTCCCTACCATTAAGCTGGCCATTCTTTTGGTTGTTTTTTGTACTCTTATTATTGTGTATTCAACTTCAGTTTTCCTGGTATAGGACTGGCAAGCTAGTCTGGTGTTGGTAAATTCTTTCAGATTTTGTTTATCTGAGAACGTTTTTATCTTTTTTTCCCATATGAAGGATAATCTTGCTGGGTGTAGTGTTCTTGTTTGAAATTGTTTTTCACTTAACACTTTGAATATATTTTCCCATTCTTTGCTTGCATTGTTTCCAGTTAGAGGTCCAATGTTAGCCTTAATGGGATATCCTTTGAAAGTAACTTGATGTTTCTTGCCAAATGTAGTATCTTGTCTCTGTGGTTTTGGTAATCCAGCTATGATGTGCCTTGGGGAAGATCATCTTGGGTTGATTCTGTCGGGGGCTCCTTTGTATTTTTTGATCTGGATATTTGAGTGTCTCTCTAGGTTTGGAAAGTTTTCTTCCAAGATTTCATGGACTAGATTATCAATGCCCTTATTAGTTTCTTCACCTTCTGGGATACCAATGATCCAGATGTTTGGGTGTTTAATGGTATCTAGTATTACTCTTATGTTATTCTCTTTTTTTGTTGTTATTTTCTTGGTCTTTTTTTGGTGAATTTCTCTAGGTTAGAGATTCTATCTTCTACATCTGAGATTAGATCTTCTGCGTAATCTGCTTTTGCTATTTTCAACGGAAGTTTTGATTTCCTGTATTACAGCCTTCATCTCATTTCAGATCATGCAATAACTTCCTTACCTCCTGGAACTCGGTGTGTATTTTCTCTTGAATCATCTCGAGTTCATCATCTCTATTCTCTTGCAACTCTGTTAGCTTTGTCACTATGAAATTTTAAATGCTTTATCTGACATATCCATGAGTTCCATTGTATTCTTTGTGGAGGAAGAAAAGTTATTCTTTTCTATTGGAGGAGAGAGATTTTCTTGGTTTCTCATATTTCTTGTACTTCTGTGGTAATTTCTGGTCATCTGATGGATTATACATTTTTTTCTTTTTCTTTTTTTTTTTTTTTTTTTTTTTGTGGAGCTTCCTGAAGCTCTCTAGCTCCAAGATGGCGATTCTCTATCTATGGTTTTCTAAGACTCTCCCCTTTTTATTACATGACATGAGAGTAACTGTTGTTTTTTTTTTTTTTTTTTTTGGGGGTTTTTCCTAGGGCGCATGTGCTCGCCAGACAGACAGAGAGACATAGAAACAGAAAGTGATAAATCACCCCCTGGGGGGATAGTCACGTCGCAATCCCTTCTCCTCCATTCTCCTCTTGGGATCTTGGGCACGCATGCATATGCGCCCGGCGTGAGTTTTAAGCCACCGGGTCTGGGACGCGAACCGCGGTCAACTTCGTGGGAGTCCAGCGACATAGCCATTACGCTAACTGCTGGTTCCCAACATTTTTTCTTATTTTTTGAAGTTAAATCTGAGCAATCAGAAGAATGCAGAAGGAGATTTGGACATCTCCACAACAGTGCATATAGTTCTTTATCATTATTTTTAATTGCCGTGTGGTATCCATTAATGTGTATTTTAATTTACTTACTCCTTTATTGGTGGTCTTATAAGTTCTGTTTTTTGCTGCTTCAAATAGCATTGTAATAAATATCTTTATACGGTTGCTTTTCCTCTATTTTTCTATCTTGTTAGGATCCTGGACAGGCAAGCATGTAGTGTGTTTTTCAAGCTGCTAGGGTTGAGATTCGACCGGTATTTGGGCATGCGGGATCTGGCTTTCTGTGTACATTATGGGGCTGGTTTAACATTTTTAATTTCTTATTTTCCTTTCCTTCTCAATTAGATGCATACCTGCTATCTTCTTGGTAGCTCATTCCAGTTCTTATAGAAAATATCCTTGTTCATTTTTTGTTTTTCTCTATTCCTTGAATTTTATTTTGTCTGAAATAAATATAACAGATTTCATTTTCTTAGCAATTATTTGATTTATTTTTACTGTCCTTTTGCAAACAAGTCTTAAGTGATTCGCCTAGTTTGTAGTGGTTAAAATATATAATATTTTTAATATTTTCTAATAATTTGATTTTGTTTAGTATGGGTTTAATTTGTAATATAGTCATGTTAGAGGAAAATCTAACTTTCCAGAATTATTTTCATGTGGCTTTTTTTTTTTTTTTAAGATGGTCTGGATTTCTATTATTCCTCAAAACAACATGCTCAGAAGATGGTGGAATTTCTTCAGTGTACAGTGCCTTGTAGGTATGTTCTGAATCTGAATCTAACTGAAGTCAAAGACCTGGGAGTGTGTGTAGGTCATATCTATTCTTCAGGCTTACAAACTTTTTCTTATGTTAAAATATTTAAAATTGTAGTAGGAATATTTACACAAACAGGAGCATTTATTGGGTTAGCAACTTTAAGGGAAGTATTAGCCAAAAAGCATGTAAGACTGGCATGTAAGACTGGCTAGCCAGAGCTCACCTTGTGATTGCTATAGTGCTGAATCATACTAAATGTATTGAAATGACAAGAGAAAGGCAATAGGGTAGGAGTCTTAGGGAAAAGCTTCATGGAGTGGGTAGACTTACATGCTAAAGATGGGGGAAATTTTTGTAGGTGGAATTTATATTGAGAGGTGAGATGAGTTTAAACAAGGATTTCATGTGGCTTTTCACCCCTTTTTTGCCAGAGGGTACGTGTCCTCACTGTAGTGACAGAGAGAAAACGAGACAGAAAGCACCCCCCAGAAGGGCATGATCATGTGGCAGTCCCTTCTCCATTTCTCTATCCCCTTGGAATTTTCAAGTGTCCTTGGTCTGCGATTTGAACTGCATAGGTGTCTATGTGGGATCTGGCTCCTTTAACCACTAGGCTATGGGGCCGGTCTTAGTGTGGTTTTTAATGGATACAGTATAGAGAGTAGATTGATCTGAGCCAAGGGCATATTTAGAGATATTTGGTAGATAAGCTTGAAAAAGGTAGGGTGTAGTCACACTGGTGTGGTTTTGAAATGGGATTGGGTGAAGTTAGGCTTTATATTAGCAGGCATCAGAATGCTGTTTAGCTCTTGATTTAATTTAATGAAAATTGATGTTCCTGAGTCAATACAAGTAAGGATCTTTATATTACTGTCAACTTTTTTCTTAATAGATACAAAGCATCACAAAGACTGATCTCTCAGGATATTCATAGTAACACATACAATTACAAAAGCACTTTTTCTGTGGAAATTGTCCCAATATGCAAGGTACTTTTTTCAATTAATCCATATCTATAAAAGACTATAAGAAATTGATTGAGTAATATGTAGCTTCTGGTGTCCTGGAGTTGACTAAATATTTAGAATAATTTTCTTAAATGGTTTCTGACATATTCAGCCATGTTAAAAGATGAAAAAACTAACCATGCTTATAATTATAAATTGACATGCCTTTAATTTTGGTGTATTAAGATGGAAAGATTGGTTGCAGTTTTTTAAAGCCCTTATTTCTTAAAATTTGTGATCCTAGTGGACATAAGATGGTTTCATGAAACGTTGAATACAAGAAATGTCATCGAAATAAATATTAGTGAACCATTGTGTGGAATATGTGCAAACAGATTTTGGCATTTTTAAAATAATCTTATTGTAATGAGTTCTTAGATTGTTTTTATTTAAAAAATAACCTGAATAAAATATTTTAAACGTAGATTTAGCATTTCATCTAATTTTAGCAAGATAATACCCCGCTTCAAAAATATAAATGAATTAAAATTCAAGAAGTCATTATTGAGTTGTTACATAGTAGATACTATACAGAAGGTTTCGTATTAAAGATTATGTACCTACAGTTCTCTACCATGTTGATGTTAAATCACTGGTAATGGTAATTGCTATAAATTATTATGAACATCCTATATTTAAAGTTAATATCTACATACCTTAGTATCTTTTATCTGGGTCACATCTCATAATAGCTCATAATAACCATATCATTTTGAAGATGAGGAAATTTAATCTTAGGGAGGTTAGATAACTTGTGTAAGGTTTCATAAACCATAGAATAATGAAGCCAGAACATGCACCCAGATCTGTGACTCTACATCTGTATGCCTGTTATTGCTGATTTATAATGTAGTGTAGGGATGGAATGGTAGCTTGAAACAGGGTCCATAGAGGGCCAGTGTGTAAATATTTTTAGCTTTTGGTTTTTGCAGTGTCTTTCATAACTGCTCAGCTCTGCTATTGTGCAGGAGTAGCCATGGGTAATATATAAAGGAATGGCCAGGGTTGTGGTCCAGTAAAACTATGAACAAAAACAGGCAGTAAGCCAGATTTGTATTGAGGGTCACATTTTGCCGACTCCTGGCTTAAAATGGTGAACATTTTTCTTTTTTTTTCTGGAGAGGTTTTTGCTATAGGGCGTGTGCACTCGCCAGAAAGACAGAGAGAGACAGAGAGACAGAAAGTGAGAAATCACCCCCTATTGGGGATGGCCATGCCACAATCCCTTCTCCTCCATTCTCCTCTCGAGATCTTGGGCATGCACGCACATGTGCCCGGCGTGAGTTTAAGTCACTGGGTCTGGGAATCAAACCGCGGTTGACTACATGGGAGTTCAGCGACCTAGCAATTATACTAACTACTGGTCCCAGGTGAACATTTTTCTGGCACAAAGCCTGCGAAATAGAAATTTAATTAGAGGGTATATTTAAGCCTGTGTATTAATTGCTTTGAGTAAAGAGGTATTTTCGTTTATCTTTGGAAACACTTGAGTTAAAAACCAAGGTCTGGATTAGGAGGCATTATGTACAGAAAGTTCCTTCAAAGGAAGAGCCTATGATTATAACTAGATATAGCTTAAACTATAATCCAGATCCTTTTTAGATTTTATTAGATATTAAAAACAAATAATTATATTTCTGGTTAATATCTCCCATTGTACACATAGATGTTTGGATAGTGAAATCCTTAATTACATATTGGTACATGTAGCCGTGCAAGAGAAACATGGTATTTTTGTTTTTCATGAATATTAAAAGAAGTCACAAGTGATTCACTCTCCTCCTGATATCCATAATACTTTGTGGGAGTGTACACTGGATTAAGATAACAGATAAATTCATAATAGCTTGATGAATAGGCCTTGGAAGTTTTTTAAAGCATTTTTCTTAAGGCACATATACTTGTCTTAAGAAAATATAGCTTATTTTTTAAGTCCTGATTCATCTCTTTAGGATGCTTGTTGATATGTAGGATTAAAAATAACATTTGGCTACACTAGTACAGTTGAATTGGACTTACACTGATGAGCGCTACTGAAGATTCATTTAGGATGTGCTTCATTCTAAATGTCTGTTCTTATGTCTAGGATAATGTTGTCTGTCTGTCTCCAAAACTGGCTCAAAGCCTGGGAAATATGAACCAGATCTGTGTGTGTATTCGGGTAACAAGTGCCATCCATCTGATAGACCCAAACACCCTACAAGGTAACTTTCGGAAACTATTTGCCTTGACAGCTTTGTTCATTATGGCAAGTAGTAATAATTGTTATTGTGAATTTCATCAAGCATTCTCAGTATTTGTTTTAGAATGCTAATTAAGATGTGTACTATTGTTTCATACCTACAAAACATCATAATTATAAAGCTTTTGACTAGTTATTCTTGTATTTTTGTATTGAGGAGATTTGTGAACTTGTTATGAATTGACCAGGTATAGTAATTTTTACTGAAATTAATTTTGTAACTACTTAACTGGCAATATTGAAACATTTGACCTCACAATCCACTGGAACACTATTTGGATATGTATTTCAGCTAATGTGATTATTATTATAGATTATTTTTAATATTCTCTTTTTAAAATTATTTAACTTTATTTATTCACCCATTCATTTATTTTAATTTGACCAGAAGACAGAGAGAGAGGGAAGGAGGGAGAGAGAGAAAGCAAGCTGCCGGTTCCAGGACTCAAACTGCATTTGGCCATGTAGGAGTCTAGCACCCTTAACCACCAAGCCACCTGCCGGCCCCTAATATTCTCTTTATAAAGATTATTTTTTAAAGAACACCACGTACTGATAGATATCTCAATATTTGGCTGTATGTTCTAATTTTTTTTTTTAATTACTTTACTTAACTGTATGTATTCATTTATGTTTTAATTTGACCAGAGGGACAGAGAGAGAGAAAGAAAGAAGGTGAGAAAGCAAGCTGCCCGGTCTGGGACTCGAACTGCAGTCATCCATATGGGAGTCCAATGCCCTTAACCACTGTGCCACATGCTGGACCTATAACTTCTAATTATTTTTTCTTTTTAAAATTTTATTTATTTATTTATTTATTTATTTATTTTGGAGAGGTTTTTGCTATAGGGTGTGTGCGCTCGCCAGACAGACAGAGACAGAGAGATAGAACACGAGAAATCACCCCCCAGGGGGGATGGCCACGCCGCAATCCATTCTCTTCTTGGGATCTTGGGCATGCACACACACGCGCCTGGTGTGAGTTTAAGCCACCGGGTCCAGGACTCCAACCGCGGTCAACTATGTGGGAGTCCAGCAACATAGCCATTACGCTAACTGCTGGTCCCTTGATATTTTTTATATATTTCCTCTAATACACATTTTCTTTCATAAAAGTAGAGTTTATTTTGATATTTTCTAGAAAATACTCATGGTCCTTATCGATTAGAATTAATCAGTTACAGGTCTGTTTAAAATATTGAGATGGATATTCTTTTCCTGTCAGGTAGAATTAGGCTTCATTTCTCATAAACTAAAGCAGCTAAAAAGATTTATATGCTTTTAAAATAAAATACCAGCACATAGAACAATTATGCAACTGATCGGATCTGATTTTATTTTAAAGATACTTAGTTCTGTTTATAACTACCGAAGATACGTTTGACAGCTGGTATTTTATACTGTGAGAAGTTTGGGACTGGTTTATTGGAATAAATGATGACTCCTAGAGGGAGTTGACATTGTAGCTCCTATTGACTGGATACTTCCTAGTTGACACATTTGAAGATGCTTTGAAACACATTGGTTCTCTTGTTCTTTAGTGTTCTGTGCTTTCTCTTAGTTGCAGATATTGATGGGAGCACTTTCTGGAGTCACCCTTTCAATAGTTTATGCCACCCCAAACAGCTGGAGGAGTTTATTGTGATGGAATGCAGTATAGTCCAAAACCTAAAACGCAGTGCAGGTGCTGGGATGATATCCAAAAAGGTGAGTAAGTGATATACCAGCACTCTTCACTTAATGACCTGTGCTTAACATCTGCTCCTAGTCATGCCCAGTTCTCCAGCATGGGGAATCTCCTTAGTCTTTGTAAGTCTTGGGAATCCCCTTTCTCCGTCTTTGTCTTTCCCACAGTTGGTTAGCATTCACTACACAAAAGCATTCATAATCATACAAGACTTAAATATTTTGTGTATAAATTTGTACTTGATTGTGCACACACGGTATTCAGAATAAATAAAGATGATTATACTGGATTTATATTATTGTGATGGGTCTTGCTGATTTATGGTGCTTATCTCTAAATATTTTTTTTTTACTCTTCATACGAAGAGTATACATGAGATAAAAGGTATCTTGGTCATGAGACCCAAGTGTAAACACAAAATTCGTTTTGTTTCATCTATCCCCTATGCACACAGCCTGAAGATAATTAACAATTTTGTGTATAGACCAACCTTTGTGTACATTGAATTATCAGAAAGCAGAAGCTACATAGACAGTCTGTGGTTGCCTGCAATCACAAATTAGAGGGCCTGAGAGGGTCTTTTCCCACTGAATAAATTATGTGTGTGTGCCTGTGTTTTGACTGCATCCTGTCACATCAGGCCAGATGTGCAATTTTCCACTTAAGATATCATGTTGGCACTAAAAAAGTTTAGATTTTTGGAGCATTTCAGATACCAGGTTTTTGGATTAGGGATGCTCAACATGTATTTATTTTTTTGGCTTTATCATTTGTCACTAATTCTTGTCTAGATTGATTAAGTAATCTTTGTATTGTATTATAAAATCTGTTGTTCTAAAATACTAAAATTACATTGTATAATTTTTAACCTGTATCTGAAATCAAATATTTCTTTAAGGATATAAGTCAGATTTCTTTTAGTGTGAAATAGTATTTAGAGACCTCCAGTCTGGGTACTAAGAGTGCTCATTTTCTTTGAGGTAATAATTGTTATTTAAAACAAAAATAATGTCTGATAATTTGGGGAAAGTCCATGGAACTGGAGAGTATTACCTTCTATATATTTATTTCATTTGAAATTTAAAAATTAATATAGTTATGAGCGCATATTTCATTTATAATAAATGTAGAATAATACCACATCCCCTCAGGCAGATACAAAACTAGATACTGAGTTTTCTTTGGTTTTCAGAAAATACACTTAGCCAATAAGCCAGAGCAGGTTCATACGTCTCTTCTAAACAGAAGCAGTTGAATTCTGTTGTATATGATAGTCTCCCCCTGATCATTCACTTTTTAAGTTCTTTCTTGAATCTGACATCTGGGAAAAAAAAATCTGAGACTTAATGCTTCATGCTTTTTCTTTTCTTTCATCTCTTTACTTTTAAGATCCTTTATTCCACCAAGAACTCGGTATTTTGCTCTGGATCTCACTTTATTTGGTTTATCTTTGTTAATAAAAGGTGTTGGCATGTGCTATGCTTAATTCGGCCTGGAAGTTTGAAATGTTAATTACAAGTGCTTGTAAAAGCTTATGTTTGAAATAGTTAATAGTTTTCTAGTTTAAAATTTCAAACTTGGGATGTTTCTACAACAAATAGTTTTTTTTTTTTTTTTTTTTTTTTTCGTTTTTAAAAAGGGTTAAATCTCAAGCTAGTAGATATCCAAAAGATTAATCTGGTAAAGGTTTTGGTTCTCTAGTGGAATGCTACTGGGATTTCTTGGTTGTGTTGTTAAAATCCTGTGTGTCAAACAAGGGCTTTGTTTAGATTATTTTCTTGCTTTAAGATTTATCTTTCAGTTATTTTGTTTGCTCAATCTGTATTGGCCCTTTAATTGCCAGAGTTAAGCTTGTGCTTGCCAGAGAGAGACAGAGGGAGGGAGAAGGCAACTCCCAATTAGGGGTGGTCTCACTGCGATCCCTTCTCCATTTCTTTATTCTATTGGGTTTGGGGGCATGCCATGTATGTGCCAGGAGTGATTTTTAAGCCTTTAGGTCTGGAGTTCAAACATCAGTGGCATCTACTTCCCTAACCACCGGACCATAGAACCAATTCTATATGTCTATTTTTAGGTGACATTGTTAATGTTTTCTACTAAACCTTGACTAAAATCTTAACAAAAAAGACCAGTGACTTTTGTAAAGTTCCTTTAAATCTTTTTCTGTATTCATGATTCATTAATTTGACAGTGTTTAAGAGATACAGAAATAAAACCAATTCCGGTTTTTTAAAATGAAAATTAGAAAACCAAAAATCAGTATTGTATTTAACTTGTCTATGAGATGGTTTCTGAGTTGTGTTTAGATTATTGAAGAGTACATTTTTCTTCCTGTTAAGCATACCCTCGGGGAAGTCTGGGTGCAGAAGACATCTGAAATGAGTACAGATAAACAGTATTTTTGTCGCACCCACTTGGGACATCTTCTAAATCCTGGAGACCTGGTATTGGGGTTTGTATTATTTTATAGCATTGTAAACTGCCCATTAGCATTGTTAATTTTCTTTGGGAGCCAGCAAAGCTAGTTAAAATGTTAGTTGTTTATTCCAAAAAGATTTAAGAGTCCTTAGGAGCCTTATAACTTGTTTTATTATTGAGAACTAAATTAAACTGTGGATTAGGCAGAAACGCATAGTTACTAAATTTTGACCATCATCTTAAGGACTCATTCACTTGAATGTTTTATTAATTGAATGCTGAAATTGTATGCTTAGATCCATATTTACAGCTTTTCAGAGGATTAGGTGTTCTTTTCCTTGTGCCTATGCTGTTGCTTAAAGCAGCCACACATATAAGGGTCAGTAAAGGTGTAGAGTAGCACTTTCTGAAACAAAGTTTATCAGTGATCCTGAATCATTACTTTTATTCTTAGAACTTCAATTACTTTTATTATAGAATTGAGGTGGATTTTAGTTTCCTCTTGTTTTTTCGGTTTATAAACTAGATGGAAACATCCAGCTGAATCCTGAAGTTAGTCTGATAAATACCTGCTTTGCTTCTTTTGCACGTATTTGCTAAGGAGGACAGTAAAGTAATGGATAAATGTGAAACTCAGAGATAGAGTGCCTTATCTTTTCCAGGATATGCAGGAGTATGTTATACAGTAAATGATACACTGTAAAAGTAGGAAGTCTATGAAATGTTTGCACTTGAGAGGAGGTTTTAGGAGATACCCATAAAATGAAAGGTCGCATTCATAGAGTACATAGTTATTAAGCTTTTCATTGTTTTCACTGCAGGTTTGATTTGGCCAACTGTAACTTAAATGATGAGCACGTCAACAAAATGAATTCAGATAGAGTTCCAGACGTGGTAAGGCTTCTCTATTTTCCCCCCTTATTTTCTGTTTTGAGGAGGATTGATGTCAGCTGTGTGGTAAGGCATGAGTTCACACTTGAAAATAACAAACTAATTTAGATGTTTCTTTGAAACTGCAGTTAAGCTATATTACAAAGGCCTTCATTTTAAATCATTTTTCTTTGTAGAGTGTGTACAAGATTTATTAAGTTTTTTATTGTTGCTATTGCTCTTAAAATCAGATTTCCATTCTCTGTCAAAACATTTGATACTATCTGTACAGCCAAATAAATTTTCAGCTAAAAATGATAACATTTAGAAATGATTCAGGTTTTTTCTTGGAGAGAAATTTAAAGCACCCTCTTGACACACTGCCTTTCACTTTCTACTCCTTTATCCTGAGATGTAACAACTATCATCAGTTTGGTGACTACCCTGGAATTCCCATCACCTTTCATTTTTTAACTTTGTTAGATTTTATAGCCTCACTATTTTATTTCCATTTTTAAATAACTGCAAGTATTTCTGTTACAGGTATTGATCAAGAAGAGCTATGACCGCACTAAACGTCAGCGTCGCAGAAACTGGAAACTGAAAGAGCTCGCGAGAGACAGGGAAAACATGGACACAGATGATGAAAGGTCCTACTTTTCTTTAAATTTTATGTTGTCTCAAAGGAAATCCTATGATAATTCTTTTTATGCTATAAAGAAATGAGCAGCACGCAGTTGATCCTTATAGTCAATATTTATTTCATATTCTTATCAATATGATGGAATCAGTATAAAGATGCTTTGACATTGATTTAGTAGTTTTTTCCTGGGTTATGACCTGACAATTGCATTATTAACATAAATAGTTCATTAAAATGTTATGAATGTTGAGCTAGCCAGTGACTGGGTCCCACATGGCTGACTGCATGGTTTGAGTTCCATATTCTGCAGCTTGAAAAATAAGCCAGGCATGTGTGCCTAAAATCTCAAGAGGAGAATGGAGGAGAAGAAATTGTGGTGGTGCTATCTCCACTTGGGGGTGCTATCTCACTTTCTCTTCTCTTGGTCTGTATCTCTCTAGGGAATACATATACCTTATAGCAAAATTTTAAAAAAGAAAAAAGGTTATGAATATGTAATGTTAACATGTTTAATAAAAAGTTAAAACATAATAAGTAGTAATATTATGGATATCACAAATTATAGGTGAGTACTTATGACTTGATAAAAAGAAAGTAGCTCATTGATGTCAAATAACTCTATATTGATGTCAATATGTGCAACTTAAGCAGAAATATGATAATGTTTTATTGGAGGGCTGGTTTCGTGGTGCAGCAGTCATGTGCATTCATGAGAAGCCTGACCACACATGGTGACTGTGGTTCAAATCCTGAGCCTGATTGGCATGAAACACATTGGGCATGCATATCAGGGCCCAGGAGCCAGTGGGCTAGAGGGTGGAAGAAAGGGGATCATGGCATGACTGACCAGACCCTGTGAAGGGTAGTCCTCCTGTTCTTTCTATCTTCTATGATGAATAAAGACAAATAATTCCAAAGTTCACTGGATGATTCAAAAGTGACTTTAATGATGGTGAAGACACTGATGTCTAAAATAATGAAGATTATATAAATTGTTTCATTAAATGTGAGTGGGAAACAGCCATATTTCTTTTTTTTTTTTTTTTCCTTTTTTGGAGAGGTTTTTGCTAGAGGTCGCATGTGCTGGCCAGTCAGACAGAGAGACAGAAAGTGAGAAATCACCCCCCAGGTGGGATGGCTATGCTGCAATCCCTTCTCCATTCTCCTCTTGGGATCTTGGGCGGGCACGCACATACACGCACCCGACATGAGTTTAAACCACCGGGTCCGGGACTCAAACCGTGGTCGACTACATGGGAATCCAGTGACAGCCATTACGCCAACTGCTGGTCTCCCATATTTCTCAAATACAATGTCCTAAAATAATTTAAGGGGCCGGCAGGTGGCATAGTGATTAAGGTGCCGGACTCCCACATGGCTTACCATGATTTGTCCCCAGCTGGCAGCCTGAAATTCATGCTGGGCACGTATGCATGCATGCCCAAAATCTCAAGAGAAGAATAGATAAGGTGTTGTGACATGGTCATCCCCTCTAAGATATGTTTTCTCACTTTATATCTTTCTGTCTCTGTCTCTGGTAAGCACATACGTCATATAGCAAAAGTCTCTCTTTAAAAAAAGATAATTTAAAATAAGTATGAATATTTATCATGTTAAATAAGATATTTTAAGTACATATTTGACTTTTTCATATGTAGTCTTAAAAGTGTAGATATGCAGCCAGCAGGTGGTGTGGTGGTTAAGGCACTGGACATTACCACATGGCCTGTCACAGTTTGAATCCTGGACTTGGTGGCTTGCTTTCTCACTTTCCTTCTCTCTGTGTGTCTCTCTTTCTCTGGTCAAATTAAGATAAATAAATGAATAAATGAAATAAATAATTCTTTAAAAAAGTGTATGTATTTCAGCTTGGCCATTAGACTTGAGGGGGGAGCTATAGAGTAGGAAGGGTCTTCTTAATGCCTTATATTTAATGTCACCTTATATTCAACTGCTTTTTTTATCATGGAATTTTGAAAGATTTTTTAAGCTTGTCAGTATTTGTTATCTATATATAACCTTGTTTACGATTTCGTTCTTGGAGCACATTTATCTTATAAAGGTGAAAATGAAGAAAACACTTTCTTTGTGAAGATGAAATATTAACTTTTTAAAAATCTTATAGGCAATACCAAGATTTCCTGGAAGATCTTGAAGAAGATGAGGCCATTAGAAAAAATGTCAACATTTACAGAGGTTAGTGTTAAAGGGGAGTGTTTGGTTTAAATCTTACGTTTGATCTGTAAATATAGTATTGAGTATGAGTATTTGGTATCGTAAATGTTGATTCTCATAAATTACTTTCTGTGTTTAGTTTTTAAATCACTGTAGTAAAACTTTTAAAAAGCACACCTGCAGGGACCACGTATGGTGTAATGGATATGTCGCTGGACTCCCACATAGTTGACTGTGATTTGAGTCTCAGACCCAGTGACTTAAAACTCACACCGGGCACATGTGCGTGCGTGCCCAAGATCCCGAGAGGAGAATGGAGGAGAAGGGGTGATTTTTTGCTTTCTGTCTCTGTCTCTCCAGTGAGTGCATGCACCTTATAGCAAAAAATTCTTCTTAAAACAAAAAACAAAAAACAAAAAAACCTCACACTTGCAGTATAGTGAAACTTATTAAAAGCTGTTGAGTATGTTGTATCATTTGCATCCTTGCATGATCCTTCAAATTGCTGATCACTACTGGCAGAAATGTATTCATGCATTTATTCAGCTCATCCAATGATATTTTAAATGCTTATTCAACATAAGATAGAAAAACTTCTGATGCAGCATAGTTAAATAATAATAGTGACATGAGGGACAGGTATTTGTATATTTTCATATTTATGATTTTTTAATTTCTCCGTATGTGTATATATATATTTGTTTTTTCCTTTTAGATTCATCTATTCCTGTGGAGAGTGATACAGATGATGAAGGAGCACCCCGAATTAGTCTGGCTGAGATGCTGGAAGACCTTCATATTTCCCAGGATGCCACCGGTGAAGAAGGTGCATCAATGATGACATAACGAGGTCATGTTGTTGTAGCCTGTTTCTGTCCTTGAGCTCAGGAAGTTGGACAAAACAACCTTTACATCTGTTCCATCTATGCCTCCATACTGCAAGAGGAGAAATTTAGTTTTAAACACGAATGAATATGATTTTCGATTGCTCACTCAAAGCAGTGAGAAAGATGATGGCTTTGAAATTGTAAATAATAAAAGTTTGCAGAGAATGTAATTATTGCTGATATTTAGGCCATTTAATATATAAATTTTATCACTTGCTTTTTTCTGTGACACTAGTATTTTTATATACTATAGGGCTGGATTTAAAAATCTCAAGTTGTGATAACTTGAATATTAACTTCAAGCATAAAACAAGCTTTTACATTCTTTTCATGTTAATTGATTGAGTAAAAGATAATATGAAGAGCTATTTTTAAGTCCTTGAGGTTAGAAAATGGGAGCTTGCCTCACCACTGGACATTCAGGGGGAAAGTTAATAGTTTTTATTACTTTGTAAAATTAATATCCTCCCAAACTGTTTAAACTGGGTGTTACCATAAAGAGAAATATATTTAAAATATTTATAGATATGTAACAAACATAGATTAGTTACTTAAAGGTTCTTTTGCTACTTTGCCTGTACTACAGTTCAGGACAGTTAGCTACATATGTCATAAAAATGTCTTCCTTTCACAATAGGGATTTTACTTTGAAAATTTTGCTTTATAGATTGAGAAGGAAGGAATTCTCTCTGTATAACTTTCTGTCATTGAACATATCACCATCAAAAAGAATAAATACTAGATTCTGGCATGTAGATGAACTAATAAAAATGAGGTACATGTTGTATAAAACTGAATCAGGCTTGAATAAGAAATGCTTTTTACATCCTTAAAAGAAGAACCTGGGTTTGGGTTTTATTTATTTATTCATTTTAAAACCTGTAGCACCTACTGTTCTCATGCAGTCTCCCATTCAAGTACTAAGGAAGTCTAACCCTTGTTCTCTTCCAAGATCAGATGAATTAGAGCACATTCAGTGGTCTTGCATTTTAAAGCGTTCTGAGAACAAAGCATTAAGATCTTTTTTCTGTAAGCAAGATTAGACTTGGTAACTATTCCAGAAGGAGATGCTAATTCATAAGTTTTCTGTAGCCTCTAAAAGAGACAGAGAAAGTGCTGAATGAAACATTTTCCCTTTTTTAAGATTGGACTCCCCAATTTTGAGTTTATTAATAAAGGTCTGAACTTTCTGCAGTGTGTTCTTTTCTGTCTGCATATTAAGTTGTGGATCTAAAATGCAATATCTTGTCCTTGGTGGTAGCTTAGTATGGGTGGCTTGTCCTAGTTCTTCCAAGGTGAGCATGGGCCCAACTGTGTTGGCCCAGAGGAAGGGCACTGCTTTGCACTGCTGGAGCCACTGGAGCCACAGGGAAGACCATGCTTGTGTTTGTGGGTTGACCTGCAGTATGCAGTGTGTGTATACCCCTGACACCGTCCGGCTAGAAACCAGGGGCAGGGGAGGCAGGTTGCAGTAGGATGAGACCTTGTTGAGGGTGCCCATTTCTCTCTCTCCAGAAATAAAGTTGTTTTGTTTTATGGAAAAAAAAAAAAAAGTGAGCATGGTCACAGAAAACTCTAACTTTTCTGTAGTTACCTCTTCTATGTCAAGATTTTACAAAGCATGAAAATAATGTTCCTCTTTTTGTGTGCCCTTGAAGTGGTTGCATCAGTGTCTTTATTTACATGAGAGTATTTCATGCAGTTTTCCAAGGTGGGATTTCTGTGGTTTATGCTTAGTTATGTGATTTTCCCACTGAAGAATAGTTTCCTTTTAACCTCATTTAGTCTAACTCTTTAGAGTGTATCTTTTTGCATATTGAAATCTTGAGAGAGGCCTGTGACAAGCTAAGAAAAAAAAGCAGTCATCTAAGAGGTTGCACAGTGTTAAACAAAATGGAAAGGTGGCAAATAGGCAGCTAACAACCATCACAGGGAACTGGAAAAACAACAAAAAAATAGAAAAAATGCCAGGAGAAGAGAAGTAATAAAGATTTGAGCAGAAATCAATGAAATAGAGAATAAACAAACTATATAGAAAATAAACAAAACCAAAAGTTCTTTGAGAAGTTAAACAGATCGTCTGAGAAAACTACCAACGTCTATATACCAAACAAACACGATGACCTAGATGAGTGAACAAATTTCTGGACAGAGATTTCCCAAGATAGAATTAGGAAGACATAGGAAGCCTGAATAGATTAATAACAAGCAACAAGATTGAAAATAATGAATAGTCTCCCAACAAAGAAAGGCCCAGGTCCTGATTTCACTTCTGAAACCTTTAAAGACGAGCTAGTCCTCATTCTACTCAAACTATTTCTAAAGATTCAAAAGGAAGGAACCCTCTCAAATTTATTCTATGAAGCCTCCATTATTCTCATTTCAAAAACATACAAGGGCATCACACAAAAAAAGAAAACTATAAATATCCCTGATGAATACAGATGCAAAAATTCTCAAGATTCTAGCAAATAATATCCAACAATGCATTAAAAAAATTATACACTATGATCAGGTTGACTTTATTCTGGTTTATGCTTAGTTATGTGATTTTCCCACTGAAGAATAGTTTCCTTTTAACCTCATTTAGTCTAACTCTTTAGAGTGTATCTTTTTGCATATTGAAATCTTGAGAGAGGCCTGTGACAAGCTAAGAAAAAAAAGCAGTCATCTAAGAGGTTGCACAGTGTTAAACAAAATGGAAAGGTGGCAAATAGGCAGCTAACAACCATCACAGGGAACTGGAAAAACAACAAAAAAATAGAAAAAATGCCAGGAGAAGAGAAGTAATAAAGATTTGAGCAGAAATCAATGAAATAGAGAATAAACAAACTATATAGAAAATAAACAAAACCAAAAGTTCTTTGAGAAGTTAAACAGATCGTCTGAGAAAACTACCAACGTCTATATACCAAACAAACACGATGACCTAGATGAGTGAACAAATTTCTGGACAGAGATTTCCCAAGATAGAATTAGGAAGACATAGGAAGCCTGAATAGATTAATAACAAGCAACAAGATTGAAAATAATGAATAGTCTCCCAACAAAGAAAGGCCCAGGTCCTGATTTCACTTCTGAAACCTTTAAAGACGAGCTAGTCCTCATTCTACTCAAACTATTTCTAAAGATTCAAAAGGAAGGAACCCTCTCAAATTTATTCTATGAAGCCTCCATTATTCTCATTTCAAAAACATACAAGGGCATCACACAAAAAAAGAAAACTATAAATATCCCTGATGAATACAGATGCAAAAATTCTCAAGATTCTAGCAAATAATATCCAACAATGCATTAAAAAAATTATACACTATGATCAGGTTGACTTTATTCCAGAGATGCAAAGATGGTTCGACATATGCAAAAATGCATCATATCAATAGAAGGAAAGTTAAATACCATATGATCATATTTGATGCAGAAGCTTCTTCACTGAGAAAACACCAAATGGTGGATGACGATGATGCAGCAGCAGGATCCGCAGTCCCTGGTGGACCTTGCTGATTGAACTCAAGCAGATTACCCCCAGAGTACAAGAAAAGTAATCAACCTGATTAAAAGATCCAGCAAATGAGCTTGAATAGACAACTCTCTAAGGAAGGTATATGAGTAGCCAAGAAGCATATGGAAAAAATGCTCAACATCACTTATCATAAGGAAGATGCAAATCAAAACCTCAATGAGATAACCCCTAACCCCAGTCAGAATGGCTAAGATTAAAAAAATAATAATAAGTGCCGGTGAGGCTTTGGTGAAAAGGGACCTCCCTACACTGCTAGTGGGAATGTAAATAAGTACAGCTACTATGGAGAACAATATGGAAGTTTCTCAAAGACCTACAAGTAGAACTAACATATGATCCAGCAATTCCACTTCTGGGTATCCACACGAAGGATATAATAGACTCAGTCAGAAAAACACTTTCATATCCATGTTCATTGTGGCATTATTTACAATTGCTAAGACATGAAACCAACCCAAATGTCTACAAACAGATGAACAGATTGAAAAAACTTGGCACATATACACTATGGAATACTACTCAGCCGTAAAAAACAAGACCCTGGCATTAGATAGAAAATGGATGAATATGGAAGATTTACTGCTAAGTGAAGCAAACCAGGTTGTGAAAGAGGCATTGTATGTCCCCACTCAGTATATACCAAATGTTGGCTCTCTGTGGCAGAAACTGAAATACTGGAAGGTATAAAAGCATGAAGAGCAACTGTAGCCCCTGGAGACAGTGTGGGAGGAGGGTGGGACATGAGGGAGGGAGAGAATCAATGGGGAAAAGAAAGAAGCAAAACATTTAAGGGACACATAAATGGAAAATGATCTGCTGATGATAATATGTATGATAATATCTTTGGACTAATACATAGTGTATTCATGCTGGGAAAAATTCATTTTGTATGTTCTAGTGATATATAATGATCGAATATATATATATATATATGTATATGTGTATATATATATATATATATATACTTTTGGATTCAAAAGTTTCTTTCTTTCATGAGCTAGAGAGACAGAGAGAAACAAAGGGATTCCCCAATAGACTCTGGATGCCATGATCGATCCTCAGCCTCAGCCTGACTTGGACACGCGCACCTGTCTATGTAGCATACTCAGGGAAGTCTCTGGATGGGAACCCAGAACCTTCCTAAATAGATCAGCCTCACAGAATATTGCATTTTATTGCTGCATGACTGTCCAGCCCCGCACTTACATTTTTTTTTTTTTTTAAGGGAGAGAGTAAAAGCTCCCAATTCTTTCAAACAATAAATTTAGGCTTACTTATGGCCACCAGGTGGCACCAATGCCTGATAAGTGCTTCTGAAAAGTCGGAAGTCAGAAGCATTATTCTCACACTTCCCTTAAAATCTATTAAAATAAAAATGTACTGGTGGTGTGATTAAGAAGATGAGTCTGCCTCCTCACTTACTGCTTTCTGATCCTCTGTGTTGATGAAGTGTCTTTCCTCTGTGCTATAGCACTCATCAGGTGCTCTGTAATCATTTACTTGAGTCTTATCTCTCACTGAAGGTAGAGATTAGAACATTTTCACCCTCACAGGCCCGGAAGTGTGTGATTTTTATTCCCTTTTCTAGTAATCATTAGGTTGTGAGTTAAAGCCAGGTTTTGGAGAACTAAAATCTAAAATGTAGACTTTCCAATTTAAGATGGCTTTCAATACTTACAAAATTTATAAGTTTGAAAGTCTAATGGCAATAAACATTTTATTGTTTTAACTTCCTATATTGATTTGATAATGAAGAAATAGCCAACATTTTTTACCTCATTCACTGGACTGAATGGTAGAAGTCCCATTTCCTTTTGGGAAATGGACATAGATATACTAATGGCCCTGGAAAAATATGTTTATTTATGAATTATTGTGTCCAAGGACCATACCGCTGACTTCGGAACAACAGCCTGGCCTCAGAATATGAAACTTCTTAAAAACCATGGATCCTGAAAGGCACTAATGGGATGCAGGCTTTGTCAGCACTATCTGTGTACTGTAGAATGGTTTCTATCAGCTCCTTCTCTCTAATCTTAGAGATGACCTCTCTCTGTTATTTTTGGTACATTGAGAGGCCCAGCCAAGTATGAGGCTTTGGCTTTCCATCCCTGGAGAGTGTATCTCCAGAGCCTTCTTACTTCTGCTCATTTATGGCACATACTCAATACACTTTCACTGTTGATATTCTTTTAAAAATGATCAATACCAACATTTTGCAAAGTGTAATTAGTCCTTCAAGAAATGACTTGGGAGAGAAAGAAAGTTCTTTGTTTCTCTCTTCACAGCTGATATTTTCATATTAAAGACGCTCTAAAGCCCTAAAACTGTAGTTCTCAATGGAGAGATACTACCCTCTAGGGGATGTTTTATAAATGTGTGGGAGTATTTTGTCATCACACCCTTGGCCAAGGAAGTCAGGTGAGGTACTATGCAGTGCACACAACAGTCCCATAAAAGCAAGAGTTGTTCCTCAGTCCCAGGATTTTAACTCATCCTGACAATCTTGTAGCTGAAGAATGTGTATATAATGAAGCCTACTGTCCAGCTCTGTTCTACATGTAAATACAGAGTAGTCAGGAGCTATAAGACACTGAAGGCAATGGCTGTGGAAATGAAGGAAGGATGACATTGTTTTGTATGGAGTTTTACCGGGTATTGTTCACT